ACATGTGGCCAAAGAGGCCTGTAATTAAGCATATTTCTTCCATAACTTTTTACGCCCTGGACTTATGGCTGATCTGAGTGATCCAAATGATTTTGGGAGCACTATTGATTGTGATACAAACCTTCAACCAAGGTTTGTATCACACTCAACCCTCCATGACTTGGATGTTGTGTGTTTTGGTACATGTAGCCAAAGAGGCCTGTAATTAAGCATATTTCTTCCATAACTTTTTACGCCCTGGACTTATGGCTGATCTGAGTGATCCAAATGATTTTGGGAGCACTGTTGAGTGTGATACAAACCTTCATCCAAGTCATGAAGTGACACCACCCTCCATAACTTGGATGTTGTGTGTTTTGGTACATGTGGGCAAAGAGGCCCATAATTAAGCATATTTCTACCATAACTTTTTACGCCCTGGACTTATGGCTAATCTGAGTGTTCCAAATGATTTTAGGAGCACTATTGAGTGTGATACAAACCTTCAACCAAGGTTTGTATCACACTCAACCCTCCATGACTTGGTTGTTGCATATTGTTGCATATAGTCAGTCATTGAGGATCTTTTGGACATAAATTTTAACACTGGAATGTTATAGCATGTCTGAGTGTGCCAAATCATTTTGGGAGGACTATTGTGTGAACACATGCAGCATCCCACTCATGAAGTGTCACACCACTCCTTGACTTGGTTGCTGCATGTGTTCACACAATAGGCCCACATTGAGGATGAATGTACATAAGTCTTTACACCAGGGAGTTATAGTTGCAGTTTAGGTCTCTTTGAAGATACCAAAACCACCACACACACAGTTGGTTATGGCATAGTTTGTTCATTGATGTTTGTTCCACCATCAACCACCTTCACCCTTGGAGTCTATTTATGGGGTACTATGGTGGTTGTATGATTCACAACCTACCATTGGTGGCGCTTCTGTGGCAATCATTTTAAGTAATACAATGCTATGTGATAAACCAAGAATGAAAACACTTGAACAATGTTCTCTTACCCTGGCTCATCCTCAGATTGTTGATCAGCATCAAACTGAGTGGTGGAAAGAGGGTGAGTCGAAGTAAGGTTTTTTTTAAGCCCATACTTGTACTGTGTTTGACAGAATCCATCCCTAATTAGGTCACAAAACCCGCCCAACTAAGTTTCTGTGCCAAGATAGAAGGTGATTTGGAAGCACCGACCCAAAAGGTACTCTGAAACTTATATTTTGACAAACAGTTGAAATCAAGGGGACCAACCAACCATGATTAAACTTGGTTGGACAGCCCTGTATGAATCCCAGGGGGTGACAGATGTGGACAGATCACCAATATGAATTGTCTATTGTTTCAAATGAATAACTCTGGTGATGGTTATCATCGAGAACCTAGGGGTGACAGCACTTTGTTTATCCCAGGGATGACAGCACTGTGAATGTTCCTGGGATGACGGAAGCATCACCAGTACATTAGTGCCACAATAGCCCTAATGAAACTTCACCGCTGAAAAGGAAGCCCCAAAAAATTGTTTTTGAAATTAATCACCGCTGCTTTCACAAGCTGATATCTGAACAACCCCAAAATGGTAAGTGACAGTTTTCCATTTGCCAATTTGTCAAGACTCCTTTGTACATGGTGTAGTGCATCAGGTTGGAAACCATTAGTAATCATCGAATCTTACATTGTCTTATATTATTCAAATATGACCAACCAGAAGAAAGTCAAACTCAAGAAGCCTGAAAACCTCAAGCGAAAACCTCAGAACGAGCTTGATGCTCGGTGCCTTGCCATGAAACGCCGTAGCCGTGTCCACGCGGAAATAACAGTTGGTCAAGCTGTTTCAAACGCTGCCGAACAATACAATCGCGCCGAACCACTCGCGCCAGGTGGTTCAGGCGATATCATCATTCCAATGGCTGAACTCCCAGCTTTCGACGAGGGTGATAGAGACGAGGAACCAGACCAACTTGGACAATTACCGCCCAGTCCTCCACCTCATGATGCCAATCTCACTGGTGAAGTGTTTGCTTTTGGCCTTAACGAAGGATTTCATGCAGGACGGCGCCAACGGGAGGAAGAGGATTGGCGCAATCGATATCCGGCCATGTTTCCAGTCTTCTTGGCCTGTCAGCAGAGAACCAATAACTGGTCCAATGTCGAGACTCGATTTAAGGACTGGAAGGAACCGTGTAACTGTACAGGTACCATTCGCACTTTTGATGTGCTTGATCTTACATGTAAGTTCAATTGAGGTAAAGGAGCTAGCTATATGATTACTACTAATGGTTTCCTAATCCAGTTCGTAAACAGATAAAGTTGAAGATGTGTCCATGTTACCCTAATGATCAAGTGCGCCTGATTCAAGCCGGTTATATTGGAGGTAAGCCGGTCAGGCCTCAGTCAGTTGTTACCATTCGACTTTTGCGATTTTTCCACATAGTGTGGAAATACTGCAGCCTGCGTTTCCATCCATTTTCGGAGGCCCTTAACGAATTTCTGGATGAAGGGAATCCTTTATTCCTAAAACGAGGTGGAGGAACAAATGTAAATCCATTATTTATTTGGGTATTCATGTTCTGATGTTGAAATTATTCTTTTAGTGCCGTGAATGGCATCAGCCACTCTCGTCAGCCATTGATGCGTATCAAGAAATGATCGTCATGACTGAAGAAGCCGTCAACAAGAGCCTCCATCTGACAGTTCAGGACAAGCTAGCAGGAATTTGTCCCCAGTGTTTTGGGCCAGGCGTGGGGCCTCTTCCGTCAGGGGAACCGGATCACATTGTTTGTATTGATGGTAACTTCCAGCACCGTAGACACTTGGCGGCTAGTATTGAAAAAGGTGAAATCGTCACACCATCTCTGTTCTTACCTCCCAAGGAAATGGAAACCCTCCAAAACGAATGGTTGCAAACAGGTCGTACCTGTCGCGGTAGGCAAGCAAATAATGCTAAAGCCAAGGTGCCATGGCATGAGGCCGAGGTAGTTAGTGAGATTTTTATGATTCATATCGATACCTTCATGATATAGCTCTTTCAACCACAATTTCTGTTGATAGGATCCATGTGCGGCGCGGCATACAGCCGCTGATGATGTGTGAGGCAAGTCTCACTGGAAAGGTTGTGACGAAACAGGGTTAATGGGAATGGGGTGTCGACATGATCAATGTCTTTGTTTCATTAGCATTATTCAAAGTGGTGAAAAGTGGGTTACCTTATCCTCTGCTGCAGTGTGATCTGTTTGTACTGATAGTGTGTAAAATGCTTGCTAGAAACATTTTTCCACTTACTTTATTGAATTGGCTCCTTAAAGCCACCGAGGCCAGGGAAGACAGAGACGGAGAACTACATCAGACCCTTGGACTTCTATATGATATTGGCTGCACTTTACAAAAGAGCATAGTGAAGGTATGGCGTATATCTTATGGATATTGTACCCTTCATTGATTTATTTGAAATCCTTTGCACCAGCATAATTACTTTCCACAAGAACGGGAAAAAGACCGGCTCAAGTTTGGAACCAGTTTGTTCCACTCATTCGTGCACGAGTGGGCATGTCAACTTGATTATAACCCACGGCTCAACAATGGCTGGGGTCTCTCCAATGGCGAGGGAATGGAACGAATTTGGTCAGATTTTGAACCTTTGGTTAGGCCACTGCGTTACTCAACAAAACAGCATCGCCTGACAGCTTTGAACTTCCGAGCTATGCATCGGAATGAACGAGGAAGACATAACTCTGGTAAGAAGTCCAACCTCTCTATCCAGGCAACTAGGCAACTCCTGATAATAAAACTTCCTTTGAAACAATAGCTGCGCGCAGCCTGAAACATCTGCAGCAGACTCAGAAAAAACTTTCGGCAGCGAGATGTATATTGAGGCAGCTTGACCGCCAGCATGGTCATACTGAAGAGTACTTCAAGAATCAATGCGAGCGTAAGAAGGCAATACAAAGTCAAACCATCAGCCAAAGCAGCGCCGATTACTTGGAACATGTGGCTGAACTCGTTGATTTGGAGGAGCAGCTAGTGGCTGCTCAGTAAGTTCGCATCTGCGCTGAACGGCAGGGAGGGCAGAGAAACTGATTAAGATTGAAATTTTCCAATCAGGGACAAGCTGGAAACCATGGACAAGAATAAACGGTCTAGGCGACGCCGTCAAAAGCATAGACATGCTAGTGGTGTTCCTAATACCTTGGTGTTGCTTGAAAAAGCCATTGAGCGTGTTACTGAGAAGCTTGGAGATGCCGAGTTATGTGAACTCACTGGTACATCAGGTGCTTCCAATGTTGAGCGCTGTAAGGTACCCATGACTAACGCCGCCGTACTGACTAAAATATGGGGTCCGAGATTTTTCCGGACATTGGTTTACGAACAATAATGTTCGCGAAATGCGATGTTCGGAAAAATTCACTTTCCCCTGAAGAAAGTGAATTTTCCCGAACATTGCGTATTTTGGAAAGGTCGTAAAAAAAAGATCGGAAAAATGAATGCCAGACATAAGAAGCGTGAACTTTTACAATCGAAATCTCCCAGTGCTTATGTCTCGTAACCAATTAAGCATGTAAAAGAGCACAGGAAGGCCAATTGTTTGACTTTTCCGGACAATCACTCACGAACATTTTAGTTCGTGAAAAAAGAAGGCCGGAAATCTCTTTTTTCGAAATCCAGATATTGAATTTTCCGGACATTCTTCGTGAATTTCCCGAACATTCCTTATCTTTTTTCATTTTGTCCCGAGAGAACATATTAATGAAAGTAAGGTAATAGAGTGAATGAATGACAACACAGATTAAATGAAATCCAAGAAAAGAAAGAAAAGAGATACGAAAATACAAAAAAGGAATAAAAGAGACACGAAAATCCAGGTTTAAAGAATGTAAAGAAATAATTAAAAAAGTTCTGTTTAAAAAAGAGAGTAATGCAAAAGATAAAGAAGTTTTTTTAAGGAGAGTAATGCAAAAGATGAATTCGATAAATTCTCATGTGTTAAATTTGTTGAGAGCAGCGGACTATTTCTGACTGTGACGCTTCGACTTCCACAATTTAAAGCGGCCATTGGACTCTTGGCTCGAAACGTCGACTCCAAGATGAGACCCAGCATTCAATTCCTCCACATCTACCAAGGCGTAACCTTTCCAACCCTTTGGCTTTTGGGGTCTGGCTGGTTTTTTTGCTGATTTGTATTCAAAAAAAGAAATGAGAATGAGTCTAACTTTGCAAAGAGAATAGATCATGACTTTCTGACCTTTTGGAGGGCTATGTGCCTCTGTCGGTGCTGCTTCCGTGACCACTGGGTTTTTCATATCAACCCGAGGTTTCTTGGATGGCCTACTTTGTGGGACTTCATCTTGGGTGAGATTGCACACCTTGCGCTTGGATTTCACTTTAGGTTTGGCAGGAACCTCGCGGCGTTCCTCTTGATCCTGATCCATAGGCATGATGGGTTCTTCTAATTCATCAAGTTGTACCTTCATCTCTTCTTTGCAATTTTGGTGACACTGCGCTGCCCCTAGATAGAAAAGATAGCAGAACCATGAGTAACTCTGATCTGATCTGGATAATAAATCAGATCACGCACCATCTTCAGTCGGTAGACCATCATCTGAATTCGAATCATTGAACAGTACGTTCGGTAGAGGTAGACCATCATCTGATTTCAAGTCTCCATGAGGGTAGTCCTCAAACAATCCCTCTAGGCCTTCGGCTTCGGCTTCGTTTTTTTCAATTTTCACTTGGGAAAAAGGCAAGTCCCCTTCAATTTGATCTCCGTAAGTGCTATTCATTCTAACATTGGCAGTAACAATGATACTGGCCTCTTCTGCGGTAGGTGCTCGTGAGTACATCACCCAGCTGGTATGTTCAGCTACACCTCCGATTGAACTCAAATCCCTACTGGACAAAGTCGCAATCCCTTCGTTTTGCATGTCGTTGTGATGCCATACGCCCGATAAACCGCCGAATGTGCGCACCACCTTGCACCAATAGTGGCTGTCCCACCAGAAACCACGAGCACACATCTGATAGGTGGCGCCGTGTAGAGTAATCTCAAAAGGTAAGTCGATTTCGCGCATCATCTTGGCGGCTTCTGAACGCCGCGAACCCAAGTAAAGGCCTATGTCTAGCTGAATGTATAGATGGGGCGGTGGTGGGTCAAACAAAAGCCTGGCCCTTTCGTAATATGGAGGCTTCGTGCGAGGCATGGTTGGATCGCCAGGGTCCTTGTTGACCTTGCAGTCTAGGCAGTGTCGTGCGGATATACGTCGAACGCCTTCGTTCAACGTCCAGGCTTGAAGGAGTTCGGGTGTAGTCGAATAGGTGTAACCGCTGTTGTAATGCTCAGGCATGAGCACGATGGAATTCTGAGGAATCACTTCGTATTTCTTATGTTCAAAGTTGTGAGTACATCAGAGTTTTCGTTGACGGTATATTTGAAAGACTGATTTAGTAATAGGCGGCGCTGGTGGTGAGGTTTGAGCGCCATCCAAGTCAAATAAGCCTTCAAAGAACTGTTCGGCTGATGCAAAGCGGTTGGCTTCAAAGGCGAGAGGGTTGATTTTTTGAATGGCTGCTTGAATCTTGTTTTGGCCAGTGGGCAGAATAGTTCGGATGTTGCCAGATCGGTGAACTTCCCAAGTTGTGCGTGACGAAAATAAATTCATAAGAATATTGTAAATGTGAATTGACTTTCCTTTGGATCCTGTGAACCAATAAGGTGTCGCAAGTGCGTAGAGACACTCTGACATCAAATTCATCCAGCAACGATTTTGCCGACCTAAGGCCTTCGAACTTCGGAACCCTTGGAACGTGGTTACCGGATTTCGGTCGACATTCAGAGCTCCTGATGGACGGCCAAGTTTCTTCTTGTTTGAAACTTCACCGAGAAGGGCGTCTGTCGTGTCCGGTGGACGGCCGTCGTTCTTAGGTTCACGGCGATGTCGAGCCTTCTTTGCCCAGCCTAGGATCTGGGCAACTTTCTCGTAATTTTTGGTGGATCCATATGTGATGGTCACACCTCGACAAAGGTCGACATGGTCCCTCTGAAGACTCATGACCAATCCGTAAAGCTGTACCAGACCAACCTGGATGGTACAGCTTCCTTCACTAAAAGACACATGAGCGCGTCAATTTGAATTTCTAAAAGCAAAATGCAAAGAAACATACATAGAAAAACTTACGAAATCATATAATACACCCGATGCATCGATTCCTGAGAGTTGGTCGTCTCAGGCAGGTCATCGTCCAGTCCATCGTCATCGATTTGTTTACGTCGAGATTTGAAGAGCATGGCCTGAATATCTGAAGCCTGCCACCAATCAATCCATCTTCTGGCATTCGGGTATTCTCGTCGTATTTGGTCCACCTTCATTTCGTAAGTTTGACCGCCTGGGACATCGGGATCGCACAGCACTGTAAACATCATTCAACTTCCCCAATTTGGCAGAGGAAAATGATTAATAGTACAGTTTTTCATAAAAGAATCTAATACTGCACACCTGGGCCATTTCACCCACACTACATATGTGCAGCAAGCTAAGTCAATAGTTGTCTATCATGTACATACAGGTCTGCTCAGTTTTTTGCCCATCAGAATAAATAAATCACATGTTATACCACATGTAACTTTTTCGACTTTGAAATTTTTTTCCCAAAAATTCACTACATATAATTCTGTAGCTGCTCAGGCAATATTGTTGAAGCTATGTCTTAGTAACAGAAAGTGTGTTACATGCAGTTGAGTTGATGAGATCACACCAAAACATTGAGTCAGTGTATGTAGTCAATCTTTTGGAAGCTTTTTTCAATCTGAAAGAAGTTACAGCATGTATTACATATGAATAACTTGTCCTGATGAGCAGATAACTGAGCAGAACTGTATGTACATGATAACCACATATTCACTGAGCCTGCTACACATATGTAGTGTGGGTGTTATGGCTCAGGTGTGGAGTGATAGACCATTTTATGACAAATCATACTCCCAATCATTTTTCCCTGCCCACTTGGGGAACCCGAATAATGTCTGCAGTGCAGACTCATTGCAAGTTGTTCAAATTCCGGCTTGAGAAAAATGGATGTAAGTCTTTTGAAACTTTTACGAATTTCTTTTTTGGAATGGAAACTAACCTCTTTACCCCTTGGAATTATTGCATTGTTCCGCTTCAAACGTGTCAGCGATTGTCTGAAATGTTCCTTACAACCGCGCAGTTTGGACAACACAACCTCTTTATCACTTTCATTGAATACTGACATATAAGCTTGAATAAAACCGTTTTTTTGAGCAACTGAAAAATCCACAACATTCCGCACCAAAAGGTCTCTTTCTTCGACTGAAAATTCAGAGTCTTGAATCTGCTCCATGAGGGTTTTGAAGTGCGCTAGATAGTGCGCTTCGGTGAGACCTTTTAGCCACGTGAGTTGAATAGGAATCCACCTATTGAGTACATCACTGTACATCGAGGTTGACAGCAAATAACCGTTTGCAAAAAATTTATATGTTACGTCAGACAATAAGCCGCCGCTATAAACACTACCTTTAACTTTGGTCAGCAGTTGTTCTGCCATCCACGGGGTTTGGAAAGTCATGTGCATGTTCTTCTTTTTCATAGATGTTGAAATCACTTCCAACCCGCGTCTGAAGTAAAAAGAATTACTCAGTTTCTTATATACATTTACAATCTGAAGGTATGTAGAACTACGTACTCAGCCCAAGTTTCCATGTCCAAGATGAAACTGTCACCCGATCCGGGTATCTTCTTTTCAGGAATGATCCCATTTTTGACCAGGATCATCCGTCTATAATAGCCAAGTCGATGCAAATTCGCCAATGCGTGATGAATATCACGAGCCGTTGTGATTTCTCCTTGACCAGCGGGAGCTCGGCCAACCTGTGAGAACAAAATGTGTCAATGGAACAATTTTGATAAATTTTGGCATAGTCGAAAATTGAAAAAATTAGAAATTTTGATTTGTTGAAAGACTTGCCTTATGCTGCAATGGACCAATGTTAGGATTTTCAACAACCTTTTGAGCAAACTCATCAAGCGCGAGTTTGTCTGGCTTGTTGCGTCTCGGCCAAGGATGAGTGTGTAATCCGGAGTGTCGAAGAATTCCCCAGCCGGACGGGATGTGTTCATCAACACGACATATGGTGTCTTTACACGGAATTAGGCGGAGGTAGTCTGTGCAAAGAGATGCTTTGCATCTCTGTTGTCTGGAATGTGCGATTTTTTTAGTATAATCAGTAATGATTAAACACATTACATAGACGAGCGGGAAATTACTCACTTGGATAGCCATTCTGCAATTTTTCCCTTGCCAGTAGGCGGCGCACCAAGATAGTCGCAGTCGTGGTTGTTGCATACAAAGACACCTAGGCAGGTGAACCGTACTGTTCGCCAGTCGGGTCGCTTCTTTGTGCCACCTCCCGAAGTCGTGCTGGCGAAACCGACGGTGCACCAGTTGGCGAATTTACTATTGGGTTTCCTTACGAATACAGTCGAGCCATTGGGAAAAAGCGGGTATCCTTCGCCATCCAGAGTGGTGTTGTGATCAATGAATGTTTCGAAAGTAGTGCGATCCAGAGGCAAAGAAAAAGTCTTCGGACCCTTCTTGCCCTCTTTTTTCGAAATCAAACCCGTTGGTTTGCGGTTCTGAGAGACTAGAGAGACTACTTGGCTTTTGGTTTCCGGATTTTCGGCCGCTTGCAAATGTAAGCCAATATCTTGCTGGTGAAGGATTTCACGGCAAGCACTGGAATTGTCGAATTGGCTCGACTGTTTGTATTTGTTGAATCGGGAGTATTTGTCGAATTTTGAAAGAGAAAGATGTCCATGTGCATTGGGAACAACACCGTCCTCCGGATCGTCATCCTTGTATTCGTCCGAGTCGCTGGACCCATGTTTATCACCTGCATGATCGGTCCAATTGTCGCCAGAGTCGCTCATAGTAATTGGAGTTGTAGAGAAGGGTTTGAATAGAAGAAACGATGATAGAAAAAAGAAGTAAAACTCGAAGATATTCCAATTGATGGAAAGCCGATTGATAACTAAGGAAAGGTGGAAAGGAAAAACAGATTGGTTTGTGTTTGTGAGAGGGTCTAAGTAGGACAATGCTCGTTGGTCTTCCTTCCTTGTAGGATGTGTCCATCGCATAAGGGAATTGATGATTCGAGTCTGACCACCCCCCTTGCCGAGTGGTCCAAATGTCCGTTTAGCACGTTCATTGTGAATGTTGAACGGCTTCATTATCTATCAAATGTTTTGATAATGATAATGAAGCCTTGATTGTGATATGTATGAATGATAAGGTCGATGGATGTTGTTAGATGTTAGATCAAAGATAGGGAGTTCTAGTTATTGAGATAGTATATATCTATTGTGTCTGGAATAGTAGATAGGTGCAAATGGATGTTCGCCTTTTGTGAGCCTTCGTTTGCGAACCTTTGAAGGGTTGTGAAGCATGCATCGTAAAAGTAAACAAAGGGATATGATTTTGCCCTTTTCCGCTCGATGATATGTACGGTCTTTGATGGTCGGCATGGATGTTTGGGAAAATTAAAGGTTGAAGATGGTGGTAATACAAATTTCAGGGCATTGATCACCGTTTTTTTTTTACATACAATCTAAAATTTGGCATCATACGTAAAAATTCACTTTGGTCGGGGCAAAGTTAAATTTTCCAAACTACATTTTTTCCCCACATTATCGTACGTAATTGGTCGTTTAGAAAAATCTACGATCCCCTAAAATATTCTATCCTCAGATGCTCGAGCAAAACCTCTAGTTAAAATCCGTGTTGCAAAAGGAAAGCTACTTGGTGCAAAGGTGGGAGTTATTGAGCATAGAAGGAGAGCCAGTCACGCTCGAGGTAAATCCGGTCATTGTTTCACTTGTCTCAACATATTCTTGCATTGACATGTTCACTGGTGATAGGTACTAATGTTCAAAAAAAGATGAATACTTTGCGACTACTGAAGAATACTAAGCTACAACAAAAGCATGCTACATATATCAGACTT